CAAACAATTCCAGAGAAGCTCCGTCAATGGCTTTGGGTGGGGGAGGGGCTGTCTGTGCGGAGTCCAGGGCCACTGAGTCCCAGAGGCAGTCACCCCGCACAGCCACATGCCGATTCCTGGCCCTGCACCAGCCGGACCCCGCACAGCTGCTCAGGAGAGCCCCATGCCAAGGTCTTCCAGCCCCCAGGGTCCCCAGCGATCACAGAAGGGATTCTCCAAGGTGAGGAGGGCAGGCTGGGGAGGGAGGGGCTGGCCGGGCACAGGGTGCCAAGCGGGAGAGACAGCCTGCACCCAACGTGCGGTCGCCCCGCAGGCATTCAGCTCATGCCCTTGGTTTCCAAATGAGCATGTGCAGCAGCCTGTGGACAGGTGACTGGGAAGATGTCCCCGAGCCCCGGGAGAAAGCTGCTTTCGTGCACCCTGCCCCCACGCTTCCTATGTCCCCCATGGGGAATGTATGGTGTGCAGGGCGGGGGACGCCGCTTTCTCCTGTCCTGTTCATCTTTAAATAAAAGTAGTAAGGTTTTAAAGCTGCATGAGAGGGGAGAGGCTGGGCAGGGCCAGGGGGCCCACTGCAAGTCTGATATCCAGATAAGAGGGTCAGTAGAAACCAAGTGTGGCCCCTCTTCCCTGGTGGCCCCGGGCTCATGCCTCCCACCAACTTCAGCTCTTCCAACCGAGAGACAGAACAGCATGGAGGGAAGGGCCTCTCCCTAAACGATGTTCAGGCATTTATCAGTAGTAAGCTGGATTGTGCATTCAAATTCTGGTACAAAATTCTCTGGAATGTGTCTGGGACAAATTTCTGAAACCCAGCCTCAGAATCAGGAAAATCAGTTACAGGACCTGGCTTTTCCCAGGGCAATCCTGAATTCAAAGTGTCAGCCCACACCCACTATTTCAGCTTTGGAAAATGCGGTCACTAGTATCACACACAGAACCTTTGGGTAGCAAAGATGGGGGTGACTCGCAAAGCGTTTCTTACTGGCTGCAAAGTGACCAACACATCAACCCCTTTAAATCTTCCAGCACTGAGTCTTTGAATGACTTTGTAAAAAGGGGTTAAAAATAAAAAGAAAGAAATCAGCTATAGCTGTCAGAAGTCAAACAAATCAGGTAGCCTTGTAAACACAGCCGAAACCAGGAGCTGAGAAATGAGGGCGCTATTGCTGAGATCACGCTTTCCTGTTAGGTGGCAGCCGGCTCGCTGAGATCATGGAGCACGTCCCCGGGGGGTGCTCTAACCCTGTGCCGCCCACCTTAGCACCTGCTCCTGGCAAGAGCACAGGGACTTCCAGACACCAGGCTTGGGGGGGGGCGGAAACCTTGAATGAAGACCCCACTTGGGCTGCATTTCACCTGGACCACAGAAAGCGACCAGCCCTGTCTGCATGTCCCAACAGGTGCGCTGGGGTGGGGGGCACCTGTGGCCTGTCTGTCCCCACCTCCCAATCACCTCCACTGGTCTGAGCCATGACCCAGGGTTGGGGGTGGTCAGGGCTGCTGATGTCTGCACCTGGAGGCTGCACCCTGGCGAATCCTGCACCTGCCCGGGTGCATGGCCTCAGAATCAAGGGGGGCTGTCCAGCACCTCGAGTGCAGGGAGTGGGTAGACTGCGGCAGGATGCAGGTAGGGCACCTCCAAGACTACACTCCCATCACGGGCATCACTGCCCTTTCCTGTGTAGCACCCAACAGGAGAGGACCCCAGGGCCCTCTGTCTTTCCATATGGCTGTAGGGCCAGGTAGACATCTGGGGGACAGACAACCCCACCATGGGGGACACAAAGAGGGCTTCCTGGTTGGGACACGTGCTGAATACCAGCCCCCAAGGGTGAGTCTGGGGTCACTTTTAGGCCTGGCGGGAGGGGAACTCTCCCTTCACTCAGGCAACCTTTGCTTTGAGATCTCTGCCCCCTGGCCTGCAAAACCTGGAGTTGGCCACGAAGTACAGTTTGAGTTTTCACCATCATTTCTAGGAGTCCTATGGGTTTGTTCCTCAATCACATAGAAGCCGGCAAGCACACTCAGAAACCAGAAAAATGAAAGACCCTGAAACAGACCCGGGCTGGGAAGACATTCTACATCTTAGAAAAAAATGCAGGCCGTTCAGGAGGGTTCTCCCTGCGTAACTGCTTCCCAGGGTGGGGCCCGGGCGACGGCAGCTTTCCGGGGCCCACCACCCTCTTCCACACGTACTCCACATGTTGTGACAATGAGATGCTAGTAAGAGCCCATTTGAACCTGGCCTGAGATTCATGGGTTCCTCCCACCCTTCATGTGAGATGAATTTTAGCCCCAGATGAGTCCAGACGGTCCACTGGCTGGAGCCCTGGGCGGAGAGCTCAGGGATGCCGGGCAGGAACTCTGTCCAGGTGCCCTCATCAGAAAAGCAGTGGCCCATCTCCCAGGCCAGGCCCACTTGGAAGGACCGCACCCTCCCTGCCAGCAGCCAAGAACTACTTTGGGAATGAAGACACGCTCATTTGCCAAAAATAGCCAACGCCTGCATATTTCTGTTTTAAGGCAATGTTACCCTTCCATCTATCAGACGGAACAGCCCTGGGTCACTTAGAGGAAAAATTAAATTAAGTGCTCTCTTTGGAAACAGCAAACGCCCGCTTTCCCTCCCCCGCCCCCCACCCCGCCTCTAAAACAAACCAGCTCTTCTTTTATTCCAAGATGACTGGGTTTAGTCCTTTGCCCCCTTCCTCTGTGCAGAGAGACATGGGGCTGCAAAGCCGCCTTCCGCGGTGGATGCCATGGGCTCCTCCAGGGGGCCGCGCTGTGTGGCCCCCAAGAGACATGTAGCCCTTCTCCCTGCCTCCGGGGCTCGTGGACAGTAAGCACACCAAAGGACTTTGGAATAAAATTCCTGAACCTGGAATGTGAGTTCCTGAGACATGAAATGTATTCGGAGTGTGGCTTTCCCTGCCCCACACAGAAACAACTTTGGGAGGGGCCCCCCCAGGGCCTTCCGGGCCTCGCTTTGGAACCAGGCATGAAGAGCTTTCACCCCAGGTATTCAGGGCACCACTCTGTCCAGGTGTCTGCAGCATATCCCGTTCCCTCTCCTGGACCAAAGGTGAGAAGGGCTGCCACACAGCCCCAACAGAGCCCGGCGCCCCAGGGAGCCAACTCTGCACCCACGCAGGGTGGGGACCACCCCCTACATCAGTCCCAATGGGTTTCCACCCACAGCAAAACAATAGTACTGCCCAACTGGGTACCTACCATGCTCCTCAGAAGCCACCATCACACCGCTGGCCAATCCCAGCTGACACACAGCAGAGTCAAAAATGGGCACTCAGAGTGTTGCAGATGGCAGACTGCCACCCCCTGGGCACTATGGCCAGAGGGCACCCACCCGCTCTGGAGCCGGCCCAGGGTGGGTGAGCACAGCTGGGATGTGCTGTGTTTGGATGGGGCTGGAAGCAGGATGGCCACGGCCAAGGCACTCTGGGCTCAGGGGAGCCCATCTACGGCCCTCTGAGGTCCCAAGGGTCATTCCTCCTCATCAAAATGAGCAGAGGTCTCTGCAAGATACCCCAAGTCCTCCCAAAACCCACACCCCTTCCCCAACCACACATACACACACGCGCGCACACACACACACACACACTGGGGACTAGTCTTATATTTACAGGCCCCCAGCTCTCTGGAGGAAGGGAAGGGTGGTGCCTGGGCAATGGGGGCGGAGGTGGGGGTGGAGAGGGAGGGGGTTCCAGCTCTCTGCAGAGGTGTGCGCTAGAGCCTGGCCTGACCCACCTGCCTGGGCTCGAACCCCCCACTCCAAGTCCCAGCTCTCTGCCCCTCCTCTCTTAGCACAGGAAGACTGGCGGGGGGGCCCTGCACCCTAGTGCCCCACAGGCTGGGTGTGGGCTGGGGCCTCCCAGGCAGGAGGGGAAGGGAGGAGGCCAGGGGACACAGAATTCGCAGAGAAGCTGGGGGTTAGCGAATTCTGAGCTGGGGACACGGTGGGTCTGAGAAAAGCCTTTCCCACAACTTTTGCCTGGTGTTCCTCCAGGAGAAAAGAGAATGCACATTCTCTGACCACATCTCCCATAATATCCGCTTGGCCACTTCCCAAAAGTTCCCAGTCACAATGCTCTGGTCTCTTTCTGTGAAGTGCCAGGCAGGGCACACGCAGGGCCACACACTCAGAGGCCCCAGCAGGGTGGCCCACTCTAACCGCCCTTTCAAACAAAGGTGTCTCAGGAGCAGGGCGGGACTGGCCCAACATGGGAACTGGACACACCAATGACACTTTGAGACATCTTTGTAGAGAAGCAGTCAGGGGCTTGGTGTAATGGTGGGAAGTCCCCGGTGCCTTCTGCAGGAACTCGGCAGCGGTAGCCCTGTGCAGCGTGGATCTCGGGGCACGGCCCTTGGCTGGGTGGACATCACACGGTGCGCAGCGGTCTGCCGGGCCGGGGCCTGCATCTCTGCTCCCAGTGCCCTGAGATCCTCCGGAGGACAGGGCCCTCTGCAGTCTCCCCAGGGCCCACCACAGCTTAAGGCGTCCCTCTGAGCTGTGTGCATTCCGAGCTCCACTGCCGGCTGGGGCGAGGATGAGGCTGGGCAGGTGGGCAGGACGCGGGAGCTCCGGGCCTGTGTAGGGGTCTGCCCTGGAAGCACAATGTCAGTGACTGCCGCTCCAGACCAACCCACCGACCGGCGGGTCTGCCGCCGACGCTGGGCTCCCGTGCACCGCTGGGCCCCCAGTGTGTGCCCCAACCTCAAAGGACACTCTCGAGTGCAAATCTATGTACAGAGTAAGGCGGCAGGAAGGGGTGTCCTCACTGACCTCGTGGAACATGTCCATCCCTGAGAAAGGGGGGGGGTTCAACACCACGGAATCTCACCTGCGTGGGCATATCTCTTGTGCAATCGTGGATGGTGTTTTTTGGAAATTTTTTTCTTAACAAATCAATTTTGACACCTGAGGTGGAGAAAAAATGTTTTTTTTGTTGT